TGGCGTGCTCTCAGGAGTTCCTTCGATGATTTCAATTCGAGGCGGGTCCATGAAGTCCATGATGCTGAAGGGTACTGGCTCCGGTTGGCACATCACTGACTTGTCCTGCGTATGTTGTCTCACGGACCAGCTCGAGCCGGCTTGAATCCCTATGGACACTCTGTCGTCCGTTTGTGTGGTGTTGTCGCTGCACGGCTCCCGGCATAAAGTCCACATGTTGTAGCACTGAGTAAAGTTGAAGAAGTTGCTGTTGAAAGTTTTTAGCTCCCCGCAGACATCCCTGCGCAGCTCTGCGAGCTCGTAGCGCATTGCCGAGATTTCATCCTTCCACTGCAAGTTGAAGGCAGCGACCATGTTGGCGGACTCCTTGAAGGCCTGAATGGCCTGAGGGACCGGTGGCTCAGAGGTGGTTATGGGGGAAGCAGCGGGGATCCTATACGAAGGCGGGGTTGCTGGCGGGACGGAGATGGCTGTTACAGTGGAGCTAGTACTGTGCTGGCTTCGAGCTGCAGCGGTCTCCCTCTCCAGCCTCTCCAGCTCTACATAGGCAGAGGAGCTAGCACCATCGTCATCCTCTATCATGTCGTCATTTAGTAAGGACGTCGCGTCCACAACATCATACTCTGGAAGAAAAATGTGAGTGCAGACAGAAGGACATTCATGGTGAAAGGAACAGCTGGAGTGCAGTTTTGTTCTGACTCTAAACTAAAATAGACACATATCTATGGAAAACATACAGTATGTGAGTGGGAAAGGCATCTTTTGAGACTTTAAAAATTCAAGACTTTATTAGGATATGTGCAACACCAAGACAGGTGCAGTATGAATCTTTTTATAGTTTGCCTATCACCAGTAATATATGTTCCGATAGCCTACGCAATAGTCTCTTTAATTTCCAAAAACTTCTCTTTTAATAAACTCACATACTGTAAGCTTTCACAATGTTTTTTTTACACTGCCTTCTCAGTCATCTCAAGGCGTCTTTCCATCTTTTCACTGCACAGCACAACAAACAGATAAAATGCATCAACCATTATCAAATCAGAAATCTTTTTTTTTTCTCCTCAGAACGTGTTAAGTGTTTCTCGGTGACTCGCAAATTGTGCCGTTTTGTGCAAAAGAAAAGATGCAAAGCGAAGGAGAGGAATCACAACCCACTGGGTTAAGAAGCAGATATGAACCCTATTGAACATGTCATGTCCAAGGTGGCTACTAAGACCATGTGGAGTGGTGAAAGACCCAGCAAGGGAAGAGGTAACCCCACTCTCCCTTTGGGGCTGCATCAGGGAGAGGCTGCAATCCCACAGTCAAAAGCAGCTGACAAACTCTTTGCCAAGGGTTCAACTTTCAAAAGAAGTCACATTTTCATGTGAAGAACAAGGAACGTTCACACATGCACTGCTCGGACAAATGATTGGAGACAGTGTCAAGGTGGTTACATTCATCACTATTTTATGGTGGCGATGCGAACACATTCGGTAATTTAGGGACATCTCTGAAACATTTACAGTACGGACTAAAACACTTAAACATAAACAACTCACAAAAGCCAGCATCACATTTTAAAACTCAATAATTCAGCGTGAAGAAGAAATCATTCACAATGTCTGAGGTTTTGTGAGTTGTTTGAACCATCTATGATCTATAGATAAACTCTAAGAATCTATGATTGTTTTACTGAGAAGGCAGTGCAAAAACACACATATACATAGATATATGTATGCGTGTCAGCATTAAAATACCTGCAACAACCATCAATGATGCCTCCAGTTGTTCTTTCCCCCCTGGTTATCCAACATCTGGATGGTCAAATGGAGAGGGATTTGTTGCACATCTGCTCTACGGAGCATCATGGGGTCCCTTTCCCGCTCAAGGGCCCACTAACCTCAGAGTTTGGTTCGTAAGCTGCTTACAATTTGATTTTAAACTATTTCTAAAGACTGCCATGAAAACATGACTCCAAAAATCTGTGTTTTCATATTAGCCTTGTTGAGTTGTTACAATTTTTATTTTATTTTATGGCCACTATTCTTTGAGAAGGACAAATCTATATGCAGCATGTTTTAGAGTAAGAGGTGACAGCGCTGTCAGTAACTAATCACCATCCAACAAGATTTTTCTGGGCTGCTAAAACCTTATTACACATATTGCAAATAAATAATCGTTCCAATCAACAAAATACAACTTGGCAACATACTGAACTATAAAATGCTTTTTGTAGCCCATACAGAACTGACAGATTTGGAGCCAGAGGTTAAATGAACAGAGTTCAGCAAATAAGACAGTGGGATTGGAGAACACTCCTTTACCCTCGGTAGTTCTAAAATGTTGATAAGAACCGAATTGAAGATAGTTTTCCAAAAACAGAACTCCGGATTCATCAAAAAGAGAAAGCCAACCAAATGAATAGAAGTGCAATTGTCTCCAATATTAAAATGACAGAAAGATGTACAAAAACTTTGGTCATAATGTACAAAAAAATGAATGTTACTTGAGAAAAACAATGTTTCAATAGGGTTCATAGCTTTACTCTTGCAGGCAAACACCAAATACACTTACTGAGGGAGGCACTGCAAAGATTTTGCTTGCACAAAGAATGTCAAATGGTTTCTGTATTGCTTTTGTTGTGTCACACAAAACTTTCAAATCTTTGCACGCTGTTAAAAAAAAGCAAAATTTAGGAAGTGAAAAAGAATAAAAACCAAACAAAAAAACACAAACCCTCAAAACTCCTCTTGGAAAATCAAATAGGTTTTATCCTGTAATTTTGAACCTCATAAAAATCTTATTTTTATTATTAGATTGGGTAAACCTTAAACTTGCAGAGAACGGTTACTAAAAAAATAATCAGGTTGCAATTATAAAAAAATCCAATCATTATTTTTGGTTGACTTTGCTCATTCCAGCTTTATGCAGCACAATATAACAATACTGTTGAAACAGTAAATGGATAATTCAGAGCTTTCAAAGTTGGTTTGTGGAAATGTGAACAATTTTTTAATTTTACCAAAATTTAGATGGCTCTTTGAATGGTCTTATTTTGAAGAAATGGTGTAATTCTGACCAGGTTCTTGACAAGCTCATGGCTAGTCGGAGTTAGCCCAAGATCAAATAGATACCTGAGGTTTTAAACCATCTTGTCTGATTTTTTTTAACTGGTTCATTAATTTAAAAAAGAAGCTATTTTATCAACCTTTATCACCCATTGGTGGTAATTTTGCATGACGGGCCAACAAAGTTCAGTCAGGTCATCTGTAACTTTTTTGTTGTTGTTGTCGAGACATTTCGTCTTGTGGGACTGGGACAAAGTGGGACAAACTGAGTGGGACTCAGTTTGTTGTGCCTCCTTGGACTGATGAAGTCCTTTGGATGTAGGACAAAACATCTCAACGCTCTAAAAGAGCACAGCATGTCATGATCGCCGCTCTCTGCAATCACACTCATCACCTGTTAAAATATTACAGTATTTAAATTTAAATTGTATATAAGTGCAGCAGGACAGCAAAGCGTTAACCCTTCACGCGGCAGATGCAGGACGGAGCAGAAATGTAATTCTTCATCAGTTACACTAACAACTGAACATAGAAGTTCTAAAATAATTAAAATAACTTTTAACACTTTCATATTTGGGGATGATGACGATTTTACGATGCGACATGGTTTGAATTTTTAGTTGGAAGACGAAAGTCGATCGGTGCATCTGGACAGCAAAGGGTTAACCCTTCACAAAGCTGCTGCAGCCAGAGCAGAAATGTGGGCGGGGCAGAGAGCCGCAGGTGGCAGAGGGCGGAGATCATGACAGGCTGCAGAGGGAGCTTCTCCCTGCACCTATGTGCTGCACACAGGTGCTAAATAATTTAAAATAATTTATTTTAAATAAACAACGCATGCCGCTTGTGCAGCTCATCCATTAATCAGCCATTTGTGTGTCATGTCCACTCTTACTTTGAAAAACCACAAAATAGTGAGTCTGCAAAAGTGGAACCGCGACGTAGCGAGGAACGATTGCATAATGTTATGTAATTACTGGCGCAATCTGATTTGTTTTAACCTTAATGTAAAGAAGAAAAACTGTATTTTCACGGACAGCGTTCAATCTTTTGAGGTTGAAGTTTTTAAAAAAAGGCAGGACTCGACTTTGGTCTCCGCCCACTTCGCTTGTCAATCCAAGCTGGAAAAATTACCTTTGTTTCTCCAAACTGAGGCCATTCAAAGAGTTACTTATAACAACAGGTAAGATAATTGTTCAGAGAATTTCCACGGAACCGCACTTCAAAAAAATCTAAACTATTGTTTTTAGGTAGCTCGTATTTCTTAACGTTTTGCAACAAATAGGCTCCTTTGTGCAACCAACATGTGTGCTGATGGGTTCTAGTATCTTGTCTTCCTTGACTTACCATAAATTGGCTTCTTTATGTATTTTAGTGTTTTATGTTTGACGACAAGGTCATTTTTCATTTTTGTGCTTTTGTGTTTCAACAGAGCAGAGGTAGGACAGGTATGCCCATATTATCAACCTCCTGCTCCCCTACCGGTCCCATTTCAATCTTCAGCCCTCCCTAAGTAACGACACTCTTTGCAACACATATATAACCACACAGTTAAACATGCTTATTAAACACTACTCCTGATATGCATGCCATGTAGTGTGGCTGTGCCGTGGGTTGATATCTGCTGTCTTCATATATTAAACTAACCCCCTCCAATCCAGTTTTTTCATTTGAAAGTTAGTCAAAAAACAAAATAAAAACAGAAGTAAACATACGATCATTTAACTAATGCATAAAACATGCAAAGGAACAGAAACAAGCAAATCAATTTAAACTTTTTGGCGTATGCAAAGGGAAAAAAACAACTGTCAAAGAAAAAAAAAGGGAATCGTTCAACTTGGCATCTTAAGGCTTCCCCACTGTACATATGTAGGTATGTCAGGTTTGTGTACACGATGTATGGAGATATGTGGACTAAAGCCCTCTCTGGTTTCAGGGGGTTTGTTTTACCTGTTGTGGATCTGAGAGTTGAAGTGACAGTGGAGGATGTCATTGAAGGCAAGCAGTCGTCATCTTGGGAATAACCAGCCTGAATTGCACGGAGGTAACTGTGGCTTCGAGTGCGGAACGAACCAGGCAGGTCCAAGGCCTCCATGGCCTGGGATTCTACTTCACTAAAAACGGACTCGCAAACTGACTCAAACTGGCCATTGATCTCAGTCTCACTCACCTGAGAGACAAAAACAGGAATAGCAGTCCTTAATTTTTCCTCTTCCTTTCTCTTTCTCACTTTGATTCTTCCCCTTTGTACAGCAAATATGAAGGAGGGTTAGCATAAGGACACTCCACCGTACAATCCAACCTTAAACTGAATGGATGTCAGATCAAAGGAACAAAATGTGGATGACGACAATAAAGAAATCAGAAAAAAGATACAGGTTTTATAAGACAAATTGACCACAATTAGCAAGTAAAGATTTAACTTACTGCATAAAGAAAAGCACTAAAAGATTAATTCATTTGTAAATGAAAACAATCAAAACGGGCATGTCAATGTGACGATTTGAATCGTCTTATTCACAGATCCATGTCACTGTGGAAGGATTACGCAGGCGCAGTCAGACGTTCCCGTCCACTCATCATGAGCCTGAATTTAATATTGACTTGGGGCCTTTGATAATGTATTCAAACCATTATTTCCCCTGAATGGTATACTAATACCACATCCAAAATCAATTAGTTTAAACAAGAATTACATTTATGGTGGACTCCGTCTAATTCACACAGGAGCAAAACCATTTGTTGTAACTTTACATGTATTTTGGAGTGTCAGTCAAATATTATCTGACAAAAATATTCAAGTTTTTTTGTCATTAAGTGTACAAATACAGCTCAGTTTCAGATTTCTACCAGCAATAAATACAGTTCAGTCCAATCCAGTTGTCAAGGCGAAGCAATGAAGTTCAAAATTCACCAGAGACTAAGAGACTGGGGCAGATGTGGCTGAGTGGTTAGAGCAGTCGTCCTCCAATGGGAGAGTTGTGGGTTCGATTTCACCAGCAGTCACATGTTGAAGTGTCCCTGGGCAATGCACTGAACCCCTCATTGCCTCGCAGTGGTGTAGTCTACGTGATACGCCGGTATACAAAGTATACCCACTAGAAAAGCTCAAGAATTTCAGTATACCCACTTAAAAGTGCCCAATGATACATGACATATCATTAGGCACGTGTCATTGATACGTTAAACGCTTCCGTAACAATCTATCTGTATGCAGCGCTTGTCTATTACATTTGCTTATCCAGAAAATCGTTGTATAATTATTACTTCTGTACTTACTACTTAACACTTGAAGATGTTTTGCTTTGATACGGTTTTATAAATTCTATAACATGTTTTTAATACAAAGCCAACTGTTGTACAAAGTCTGTTGTTCATTTATCCAAATATAAGCATCAGAGAAATTTGGAAATGTTCAATGCGCTTTAAAATCAAAACAAACTGACAATTACATTGTACGAACGAGTGTACTTTGGTTTCTAAGCACAGTATACGGACCGACCGTGGTAAAGTTAATTTTCCGTTGGAAGTTGGACATCCGTGCTTCATGGCTTCAACGGTGTCCAACATCCAACGTAAATCTAATTTTACCGCAGTATACCCACTAGAAAAATGTAGACTACACCACTGCTCTGTGTCTCATCAATGTATGAATGTGATCTAAAGCAATGATTAGTCTCTACAGATTCAGATTAGCTTTGTAAAGATCTAGTAGAGTGCTGTATGAATGTATGTTTGGAGGTAAATGAGGGGATATTGTGTTGTAAAGCGCTGTGAGTATCTTGATTAGATAGAAAAGTGCTATACAAGTACAGTCCATTTACCATTTACCTCAGAGGGCACCATTCAACTCTGTCCGTTCAAAGAGTTTAATCCAACAAACAGAAGAAGTTCTTGCGCCAAGATTTACTTTGGATCCTTCACCTTCAGCCAACTGTAGAAAACACTTAACCGTGGATTCTTTGTTTACTTTAAAGTAATTCCCAACACTGATGATAAAAAGCAGAGACTCGGTGGTCTACTTTAGTGGGTGGCTGTGCTTCTAACATTGCCAACAGGAGCATTAAGCCAAGGAGAAATCTCTAGTCCTGCGTATTTTCCACTCCGAGTTAGAGGAAGGAATCTTTCACCAATTTTACCAGCTAGCTCACGACTCTGTTTGACTGGCTTGTGGGTGTGGGCGTGGTGGCATCCAGTTTTCTTGGCTGAAGGCATCTCTACGATATATAGGCTTAAATACATGCATACATCAGCCCAAGTCTTTTAGTACGTGGTGCTGAAGAAGAGAGTGTGTTTTAACTTGACAAGCCCTAACAACTTGAACACAAGAACACTGCACTGTCAAACATGGAGGTGGTAGCATCATGCTGTAAGGCTGGTGCATTGCACAAAGTGCATGAAGAAATACAGGAAGACGACTACCTCCAAGTTCTTCATCTTCACCTCAGATCATCAACTAGATGGTTGAGACTTGGACACAACAAACCTGGTTTCTGATTGGATAAAGCGGGCTACCATTCTGAAATGATCTTCCCAACGCTCCCAACTCAGTCCTTTAAAAACTTGATGAACTATGTATGTTTAAAAGCTATGTCCACAACAGCATACCAGCAATTTAAAACCAAAACTCCTACTACTTCCATGAAAGATGGTCAAATACACAACCAGAACTCTGCCAGAAACCTGTTGACGGCTACAAAAAGCATGTAGTTGAGATGCAAACTGCTAAGGGGTGGTTAACCAAATATTAGTGCCTGTTAGTACAATTTTGACCATGTGTGTGTTAGAGAAAATCCACAACTTCTTCAAAACTTGTACACTCAATACTTATTTAAAAATATTGAAGGTATATGTTGTATTATTAATAAAATAATTGGGAAAAATGGTTCAAATTAACCCCTAAAGCCCTTAATTCATACAACAATCATGCCCATGAGTGGATATAAACATCTGACTGCAGTTGTAATTCTGGTATTCTTATACAGTTGTAGTAAGTATTTTAAATATACTCTTTTATCTGTAATGCAGATTATTTTGCTATGGATATAATTTAGCCTCTTTATATTTTTTTCCGCGTTTAGCTTTTAAGTATTTCAACACAAGTTTCCAGCATCATGTAAGACTTTCTTGAGGTAAATATTTTCAATCAGGAAATTAAAACCCACAGCGAGTAAAGCCGGCCGATTGAACGACCACTCTTTTGACCAAACTCTCTCCTCCTGTTACTCCTCCTCCACACAGAAGCTTTGCTGCTGGCTCTGTCAAAGATCTTCTCACTGCAGCAACCACATCTGGAGCCAGCGGCGAGGTCCGAAACAGACGTGCACAACTGCATGAATTCATAGCAGGGTATTAAAGAGGGACACACCTGGAAAGGTTCATGTGTCATGCAAGGTTAGACAGGAAACTGCTGGGTCTAGATCTAGACTTTGAAGAAAATCACCAGTACTTGTAGGTAAAGTAGATTTCTGCTCTTTGAGTTAACTGAAGGTTTAATTAACAAGTCTTAGTAAACCTAATGATAAATAGTGTCACCCACTGCACTAAATTATGAAGATTTCAGCTTTCAGATGAATCTTGAACTCCTTCTTGTGCCATGTTGGAATCATTTAAGGCAATGTACTGTGCAAAAGTTTTAAACCACCCCCAGTTTTGTTTCCAATGAGTCAGGCTCTCCAGTAACCTTTGAAATTGTTCTTGATCAGTATGTTCTTCAGGCTTTCTGAAGGCCTTTCATTGTTTTTCTTTAGATGTTAGTTCAAATATTTCTAGCAAACAGACGTCCTGAGAAATGCAACATTTTTCTACGGAATGAACCCCCCGAGCATGTTTAGCTGAATAACCCTGATGTGTTGAGTGCCAGGTTTTCATCTAGTGGCCGTGTTGGTTCAAAAATACAATTTTTTGTCTTAACTGGGTTGATTTTTGTTTTACTTTTCCAGTATGAGCAGAAAAGTGGGAACAAATTGTGTTTTTGTGTCAGGCTGCTGGTAAAGTCTAAACAATTTGTTTAAAATAAAGTCGTCTGTTTTGTGCAGACAGAACATCGAGCTGTCTGAAAAATGAAACAACAAACATAAAAAAAATGGTCCAGTGCATTACGAAGAAAAACGTGCACAAATAATCCGAAAGCATTAAACATTGGTGATCAAACCCACTCTATGAAAAAAGCCAAGCAGTCCTGGAAGGATCGCCCGCCGCCCTTCATGCCAGAGTTTTAGACTAAGTTCCTGTGATGTTGAAATTTAACAAAGTTACAGATGTTTTAAACAAACTTGGAAAATAACGCTGCGCACAATATCATGTAAGGTGTCACGCTTAGAGTACGTGTTGGAAATGACGTTTTTGTGTCGGCTCATTTTTATCAGATTAGTTCAAGTTGGCTCCAAATGTTTCAACATGGCGCTCACGCTGTGATCATTTTCTGAAACTTTTAGAAAAACCAGTGGTTTAGCTAAGAAACAGAAAACCGACTCCAAAAATTAGAAACTTTTAAACAAAAGTTTTGGTGCTCAGATTGTGTCGGGGGATCAGCCTCAGCTACTACCACACCAAATCTGTAAATCTGACTGAGTTACAGCCATTTTTTTTTATGGTCAGTTAGTTGTGGCGGCCATCTTGAATCAAGTTAGCTCTAAAAGTTCATCAGGTGTAGACGTGCATCCAGTAATTAGTTTCTTTAGGTTTCATTAAAATTCATCAAATGCTTTATGACATTTTGGTAATGGATAAGCACAGAAATGGGCAAAGATTTCACCTTTTGGTGGCGGGTGATAAAAATAAAATCACAAGTCTGGAAGCAAGATTAAGTAGTAAAATATTTGTACAGTACTATAGATCCTTTAAAGCCTTTTTAGCACTTGGAACATATAAAAATTGGCTTAAATATTATGCAACAATGCGAAAGAAAAAAAATCTTACATTTGTTTAAAAAAAAACACATGCTCATGTTATATAATATAGCTGTAGGCGATTTTGAAACAGCTGACAGTCGGCTGTGCTATATGTCGTATTTCAATAAGAGTGGTTTGAAATAAGACTCTGAAGTTAAGTTGTCCCATCCTAATTAAAAGCTTGTTTCATTTGTGTGTTCTTTGCATCTCGAGCCTGCATGTCAAGTTAGTGCAACTCAAAGGTGAGGGGAGTCGGAGATGGTTGCTAAGTGGGAAGAGGTGGGGGTATGTTCAATATAGCAATGATCTGTGAAGCTCCGCCCATTCGTATCACTACAAAATCTACATAAACCATAAGACGAGCAGTTTGTTCTTCAGAGTTTTGTTTCCCTGGGAAGGATGTTGGAGACTCACCTGGCTGAGGCAGCTTGCCTGACTGAGGGTGCTGACGGCACGCATGTAGCTCTGGTTGCGAGAGCGAAAAGGAGGGGGGTGGAAAGAAGTGGCAGGATCCAGCGTGACACTAGGGTGGGGCCGCAAATCTCTGGTCTGCAGGTGGTAACCCTGGCTGAACAAGGGGCAGAGATGGACAGGTTCACAGGGGTTCACAAATCTGCTGTCCACTGTACATACGAGGAAGGCATGCTGAGGTTTAATGTCTGAATAAAATACGTTTAATGATATGGGGTGCCGTTTGAAAAGTTACACAGTCAAAAATTAACAGCAATATTTTGGTTTATTTAGCTTTTCATAAGAATAAAATTGGGTGTTTTTTTCAGTCATATTTTCACCATGTTATTCATACATTTATAAATGTCATAGTTCCAAACTATTTAATTTACAAGCTAAATATTTAGTTAACAAGCTAAATATTTAGCTCCATACAAAATATTTAGTTTACAATCTAAATGTTTATGTCTAAGATAAATGTTTAATTTACAAACTAAATATCTAACTTGCAAGTTAAATATTTAGTTAGTGAACTAAATATTTAGGTGTAAATTAAGTATTTAATTTCCAAGCTAAATATTTATTTTCAAAACTAAACATTTAATTTCCAAACAAAACATTTAATTTCTAAGCTAAACATTTAATTCCTAAACTAAAGAGTTAATTTGCTAACTAAATATTTAATTCAGACCTAAACATTTTTTTTCAAACAAAACATTTAATTTCTAAGCTAAACATCTAATTTCCAAAATAAATATTTAATTTGCTTACTAAATATTTAGCTCAGACCTAAATATTTATTTTCTAAACTAAACATTTAATTTCCAAAATAAATGGTTAATTTGCTAACTAAAAATTTAGCTCAGACCTAAATATTTAGCTTGCTAGCTAAATATTTAACTTGCAATTCAAATATTTAGCTCAAACCTAAATATTTAGCTAATATGCAAATTCCTTGCCAAAAAGCGGAAGTGGACTATCAAAATAAAAGTCGAACCTCTATATACACGCCTATTGTCAAAGCGCCAGTGAACACCAGAAGAAGAAGAAGATTTTTAAATGTTTTAGTATTTTAGATAAAGTATGGCATAAAAGAGAAAACTAAAGGGATTCAGTCTGGCCAGCCGCAACTCTTATTTTTCTTCTACTTCTGCTGCTTTTTAATTCCATAAATAATTACTTTTTTTTGGGGGGGGGGGGGGGGGGGAATTAAACATTTTGCTAGGACATAAACATTTAGTTTGTAAACTAAATATTTAGCTTCTTAACTAAATATTTAACTTCCAAGTTAAGTATTTAGTTTGTAAACTACATATTTAGCTTGTAAATTAAATATTTAGTTTGGAACTATGACATTTATAAATGTATGAACATGGTGAAAATATGACTTTTTCTTAAGAAAAACTCAAACCAAAATATTGCTGTTAATTTCTGAATGTGTAACTTTATAAATGGCAGGCACCCAATGACTCATCTCCATGACACTAAGTGAAATGTGAACTATTTAAACAGCCCAAGATGAAGCATTAAAAAAAAAAAGTGTCCCATGGGACAACGATAAGTCGTCTATCCCAAACCTGCAGAGCGCACGTGCAGCTCGGCTCGTGTGTGACATAACGAGAGCTTGGAGCTTCAATAATAGGAAATTATTACATTTTCCACCAGAGCATGAAAAACAGCAAGGCTTTGTTTTGCTTTTTAATCTGTGGACAAAAACAGAAGAGCTCAGAACCCCGCTGACATGATGGCAACAAATATGCCACTGTGCACTCAAGAGGCAGAAAGAATGATTGCTGCCTCTCTGGTTGTTACAGAATTTAGCTTCAATAAAAGAAGTGCCTGAAAACAAACATTAACAGACTGACGTCGTAAAAAGAAGTCAAGCAACCATAAGCTTTGAAGCAAGGCGAAGATGGCGTAATTCTGCCTTCACAATCTAAACATAAACTCCGTTTGTATGGAACTAAAATCAGAGAAAAATTATTTTGGTTACATTTGAAATGGCACCTCACTTTGCTTAATACAACCCAACACGTAACATATTTTTTGGACTACAAGGCGCATTAAGCAAAACAAAACCAACACAGGAACACTTCCTGTGTTGGTTTGAATGCTGTGTACCATGTAAAATCAGTTCGAGGTCAGTAAGCACAACCAGAATTAATACATAAGGCTCACCGTTGATTTTTGAGAAAATCAAAGGATTTTAGGGTACTTGTTAGTGCCAAATACAACCAACTACATACCCTGTGAGTACCAGGTAGTACCTACCACGTTGTCAGCAGCATTGCTACCAACAACAGCTATTTTAAAGAGATTTAAATGAAAAGCTAATTTTTATGCGAGTTTGTGATGAGTTTTAATGATTAGTCAGTATCTCACCTGCAGTAGACAGCAGTGATCTTAAGGATCTCTGTTTGGAGAATAAGGGGGAAGAGCTCATGGGTGAATCGAGCTAACTGCTATAAAACGAGGCCCATTTATGAACAACTTTCAACTAAACAAGTTAAATAATAAAAGATTCATAGCACAGCGAACGCACTGCTGTGGACTTTTACACTGCATTACTTTTTCACCAGATTGTTGCATGGACTGAGTAAGCTTAAGATTTATTTAGTAACTTATGCCACATAAAAAAATTGGGATTGTGTAACCACAGCCAAATTATAAGACTAGACCAAGTGTCCCAAACTTCTGTCATTGTTGGGAATTCAAGGCAGCCGGTTTAAGAGTTCTATGTTGTTTTTCTCCTGTTTTTATGGATCATCTTTCAAGACTTTGTGTCAAACGCTCAAAGTTCAGACCAGTTCGAAAGCTCAACATAAACATAAATTCCTGTAAACGTTTCTTCAACCGTTAATTTCAACAGATCAAAACCCTTCATCGTGCATCACTCACCACACATATGTAAACCTGATTTTATTCAGAAAGAGAAACTAAGTCCATCCATAAGCCTACAACAAATGGTGACCCTCAACTTCCTGCTTTTCAAGGAGCCATCTTTAGCAGTGGTTCAGAAATCCAGACTACAAGAGACCGGCTTCAGGTAAACTAATGGACCAAAGTTCAGATTCTTCAAATATTGTTTTGACATTTTTCAAGAGATACTATGTCAAATTAATGGTTAGTACATTACCAGCTCTTATTTAGTCATATAATGGATTATAGGGAAAAGGGCAGAACCCTTTGACCAGGCTGGGTTAATGGCTAGCTAAACCAAGGCCTGTTTTTGTTTAGTATGGGCGGTCTGGGCCTGAAGGTAGCTCAACGTGCATGTTTTTGGACTGTGGGAGGAAACCAGAGTACCTGGAGAAAACCCCACATGAGAACATGCAAACTCCACACAGAAAGACCCCCGGGTCCAAACTGGGGATTGAACCCAGGATGCAACAGTGCTAACCACTAAACCACTGGGCTGAACAAATAAAGCCAATATGCTACATTAGCTAATTTTAAAACCCCTGCCTTTTTCCACGACGCAGTTTAGTTTGTTGTTTTTTCAGCCCAACATTTATATAGTTTCACATTTTGTATTTGACATTATCCACATTTCACACCTTTCTGTTTGTGAGAAAGAGTCGTGTTAAAGGCCTTAACAACACCCTCGTTAGCCCCAGTGGTGCGATGTAACTAAGTATAAGTACTTCGTTATTGTATTTTACACTTTTCATGTATCTGTACTTTACTTAAGTAGAGTTAAACATGGGTACTTTAGACTTTTACTCCTCTACATTGTACATTAAGTATCTGTACTTTCTACTACACTACATTTCTATAATTCGTTGCGTTACACGTTACGTTCATGTTGTGGTTTTTTGATTTGTTCGTCAGTTTGAAAGTAACTAATGGTGAGAGGGGAGTTGGTTCATTGAATCACTGCAAAGTGGGCAGGTGACGTTAGACCCACCTTCCAGAAGAGCTGGGCCAATATTCTAGTATATTATACATCACTGAGCTGGGCTCACCCGCAGCACCGCTAACACACCCAAAATGGATTCCACCGAGGAGAGTCAGCCAGAAGATACGAGCCACCCATGGCCTTATTGAAAGATTATTGAAAGATTATTGAAAGATTATCGAGTACAGCAGGACAGAGTCTCTCTCCCAAAAGAGCCAGGCTGGACTCAAAAACTTTGAAAACCAACTTCTTCTGAACTTGAACAAGAAATTCTTGCCTCAATATTAAAATGTGTCAGTTCATGGGACGTTAGGAGACAAGAGATGTCTCCACATGACTCGACACTCGGGTCCAAGTTTTGAAAATAGTGTCAAGAGGTTAAAATATTGTTCACTATTGACTCATTACAAGGTTGACTAGACAGTATTTTAACTAGAGTTGATGACAAACTGGAGTTGAACTGATCAGATATTCTTTTGTTAGTTGTGTCTAATGCTCCTGTTTTCAGGCAGACAACTTTTACTTAAATGTTTTTACTGCAGTTGGCTTTGTTTTGTGTTAAATAAAAACTTTCAAAGGTATAATCATCCTTTTGCTTAATGACATTTAACTCTGCATGTCATCCCTGAATTTCTGACGCACAGAATCACAAGTCCAAGTGTGAACTGTGTCACAGAGTAAACAATAAAAACATGTATAATCTGCAGCATTGTTCAGTAAAATGACACAACACTATTAATGTATGACACAAAATATACATACAGTAGGTTCACTTAATGATATTGTAGACCATTGCATTAGGTAATACTTTCAGCAAGTACTTTTACTTTTAATATTTTAATTTTAAAAGCAAGTACTTATTTACTTTTACTTAAGTAACAACGTTTATGTGATACTTCTACTTTTACTAGAGTACATTTTTGTCTGTTTATTCATACTTTTACTTACCGGTAAGTGCAGTGTTTGAGTACTTTCTCCACCACTGACTAGCCCAAACTGGACAAAGATTTCTGCCATTTTCTGCAAACTACCCCCTCCATGACTAATGTCACAGCTAATGAGGTACTGATAGCTAAATGACTGGACATCCCTTCAAACATAACCAGACTATTCCTTTATGACCAAAGTAGATGTCAAATTGGTTTAAATTATATATTTGGATTAGTTGTATTTATGCATCAGGTCATTTTTATATAAAGGAACTGGATGTAAACATCATCCGGGCATCAAGTTATTTCTTCTTTTGAAAAGCATCACAGCTGGAGTCAGTAACCATCCATTCCCAACACGCTGTGTCAAACTTTAACTGCCACTATGATTGCATGAATATGATTTATACTTTTAGAACTCAATATACATTAGTGCTGAGACTATTAGCCATTTACCACCACCTGTCAATGTGATTTTCTGAAGTATACACACTGAGTTGGTGCTTACCTGTGGGAGTCTAAATGGGGTCTCTGCATGGCTGATTTGAGGACGAGAGCATCCGGTCGAATGGCCTTCTGTGGGGAAATCTTAGGGCTGGAGTCCGAGTCCCCGCTTTCATCCTCCAACTCTCCCATAGCTTTGACGTAGCTGCTGCTCCTCATGCGCCGGCATGGGATCTCCTCGTCTTTCTCGCCAGGGTATCCGCTCCACTCATCCTGGGGCACCTGTGGGAGTCGGAAGTCCTCCGATAAATACCAAGTACAAATGTGTAACAGCTCATCATGCCTAAGGATATTTGTATACTTTATCCAGTGTTTGCGGCGACTTCCTGAATGTGGACAAGAGCAGATTTATGTGGTGGCGCGCCGAGACAAAAACACACAGCTTGTGTTGGCTCATATGAGAAAAACAATTATTTGCAGGCAGAGCGGAGCCTAATTATCCAAAAGGGTTGGAGAAATTAAGAGACGAGCAAATTACGTATAATTTGTTGGGGATTTTAATCCTCAAATAAAATATATTTATTACTACCTACATTAACCTACTCAACTGCCCTTTCATAAACAATTTTATGCTCATTTTTACTTTGAACAGAGCGTGAGCTTTTCTCAGCAAACATGCACAGTAATACTAAAACTAGAAAGTTCCTGGAGAAACTTTGACGGGGACTGCCAGGCTGCTGCCAATTTAAATGTTGGCTTTGACAGTAATATGTTTTTTGGTTCGCTCTCAGCTACCACTATATCAATTTTTAGCTCAATATTGCAACAAAACAACCAGTTATAGTAATCTTTTCATTTAGCTAATGCAACCATCTTGGATTTTTGATTTGGATTCAGTATTGATGGGGAACGTTCTTAGCTATAACCACACCCATATTCAGCTTATATGTGTAAAAATAGCTGAGTTAAACCATTTAAATGTAGCTTTGGTGACCATCTTGAATTTTTTTATTTGAATTCAGTATATAATGTACATTGCTGTCAGGTACTACCACACCAAATATAGTTTTTTAATTCATTTATTCATTCATTTAAATGAAACGGTTGGTTATTTGGATCATACAAATGCACTATTCATAAAATCTAAGCTAAAATTTGTTGGCATAGTAGAATTACAAACAGCTGTTGTCTTGTTTAAAGCAAAAAAAATAATTTCTTACCAGGAAACATTCAAAAGCTTTTCTCAAAACAGGAAGGACTTTATAATTTAAGGGAAAAAGGTGAATTAAAAACTTTAAAAATTCAGAACCACAAGAAAAAGCTTTTGTATATCAGTCCGTGGGGTGAAGCTGTGGAATGGTTTAATCATGGAAATCAAGCAATGTCCAAACATTAAACAGTTTAAAACGTCATTTAAGAAGATGGTCATCACTGCATATCAATACGGGAAATAATGACTGTTATTGCTGCTATTAACAATGTTGTTAATGAATTTATCTATTGTTACTGTATTCTTGTATATTGTTCTAGAAAGAATTTTAACATGTTAAAAAATATTGATGCTTGATCACAATGGCATGCAAATATGAATGCATTGTAAGGATATGGATATATAAAATATTAACTAAAACAGAATGTTATAACCAAGTTACCATGAATATTAAATTAATGGATGACTCTATAGATGTAAGAGGGGTGAGTTTAACAATAAGTTTAAACTTCAACCCACTCCTTTGAACGTGTACATATACTTTACTACTGTTTTGTTTTTCTCTTTTTGCTTTAGTTTTAAATTTCTTTTCTTTTCATGTAACTTTGTTTATTCTTTTATTATACTACATTCAATAAAATTAAACTCAAACAAAAACAAAACAAATTAATCAAAAAGTAAAAAAAAACACTGAATGAAAAGGGTGCAGAACGAAGATTATTTTTACTGTATATATAAATTTCAACTGAGTAGCTCTTAAATCAGCTGAGTTATCATTTTTTTCCACTTTTAGCTAAGGCGGCCTCTTGTATATTTGATTTGCATTAGGATTGTACAACCACTCGCTCTCAGCAATGACCATGCCACATTTCAGCTCAATATCTCAAAGAATACCTGAGTTACAGTCAATTTTTTTGTTTGCTGACGTAGCTGTGGCAGCCATCTTGATCCAAAATGGCTCAAAAACGTTAATCGGTGTTTTGTTCAGGGACCTCTGCACTCCAGGTCATGTGACCTCAGAGCTGCAGTTAGAGGGTGACAAGTGTTCTGTCAGGCATTTTGAACAGGAAAAATAGCGTATTTGTTTACAAATTACGTTGCCATGGTAACTTGAAACGCCAATGAAAGTAACAGCACACATCACGGCGCCAAGCCGGTCGTTTTGGTATAACATTTGTGGGGATACACGTTGCGGTAAAGTTGATGGAAGAGTAATAAAGTTAAGAAACCCTTGTTAGGTGGATAATAATAGGTGCTGCCTCTTAATAGGCATTTCCCAATTAAAGTCCTAACTTCCCACAAAGGAATGAATTATTGTTCACAGCCTTCTCAGAGTTTGACTAAACTTTGTTTGAAAAAAAAAAGAATCGTTTTGGTCAAACCTTAAAGAGGTGTGAAATCTTGTGACGTCATAAGATGTCAAGATCATAATTTGTGTTGTGGATGACTCAGCGCGTCAAATTTTAGCTCAGTATCTTCAAAACTCAATTAATTACTGCAATATTTGTGTTCAATGTGAATATTTGTAGTAGCCATCTTGAAAGGACTCCAAAAGTTAATGGGTTGTAGACAGAGTTGACTCCAAATAATTTAATGGCTAAATGTTCACCATCATCAACATCTTGCAGAATATGTGAGCTCAGACTGTGTTGGTGATAGTTTTGGATTCTGCCACAGCAAATTTCAAGTAAACATCTTTAAAATGGATTGAGTTGGAGCCATGTTTTGTGTTCTTTTTAAGTTTAGTTCGCTGTGACGTTCATTCTGAATCAGGCTGACTCCAAAATATAAGTTAAATGGGTTTATTTAATAAATATAGGTTTCATGAAACTTTGTCCAGTGGTTTATGAGATACGTTTTAACAGACGGGCACAAACAGAGATGAGCTGAAACGTTATCTTCTTCCTTCACCATTCAGCGTTTTGAAACTCGTCTTTATTTTTCAGTGAATTTAACGGAGCAAAGTGAGGACTCTCCTCCACTTCTCCTGCAGAGTGGGCCCATTTTCAAATCTTTAACAAATTACACTCAATAACTCTTACATCATGTTAGAACGGTATGTGAAAGCTCACAGTAAACAGCTCTGACTGCTTCTCAAGCGAACGGGAAAAATACTCGACAGGGAGTTTCGTTCATGAATCCTCACCCTGTCGATGTCTTCTTGTTTGGTATTCCTCTCGAAGGCTCAGACTCTTCACATGCTCTGAATTGATAGATCGTCAAAACACTTCACCACAAATACAAATAACAACGGCACAGCGAGGCAGGGTGGGTTTATCTACAATCACAAGCTTCCTCCTTTAAACCCAGACTTCATTCATCATTTCATTCCAGTGTGCCCCACTAAGGAAGCAGCTCAAACACCAAATTTCCAGCTTCTGGTTAGAAAAAAAGTGAGAAGAACCAGAAGCTTTTAATCAAAATCTCCTAATTAAGACAAGAAATAAACTAAATAAATGGTGGAGCAGCTCTTTTCGGAGTGCCATTGAAATCTTGCAGGAGGTGTTAACAAACGAGCAAAGCACAAGAGTTCTGATTTCCTAATGATGTAGTACAGTGAACGCATCATGAGTCATGGCTGAAGCTGGGAGGAAACAAAGACCAACAGGAAATGTGACGTTATTTTTTACAATGCAAATCTGACTAAAGCTCGAAACAAAGCTGCTTTTTTTTTTTTTTTTAAGATTATAAAAGGATTGAGATTAATGCAATAGGCTCTCAAGTACAGGAAGAAGCTAAGTATAAATATGTTCTCTATAAGACTATTATAGATCCCAACAGGATCCTGAATTTAAATGCATCAGAGTGGAGGGATCACTGTCCTTCATACTTAAAAAAAGTCGTAAGATCACTGAAGGAGGCTTTTTACTGTCTTAACTGCTAACTAGAGAAATTGCATTTCATGTGAAAATGCAGTGTGAATGCTTATTGCTGAAGAACTTGTTGAAAAACAGCTGAAATTAGCCAAAACATGCTAAAATGTAGCTGATACGGAAGAACAAGCCTACTGTAAGTTAGCAGAAAAAAGTAGAAAGAACAAATATTGGCTGAATCAAGTTTAAGTGAGCAGAAATGAGCACAAAAATGAGCAAATAAGCTTAAAACCCCCCAGAAATTAGCAAGAAATAGTTGACAAGCTGAAAAGGCAGAAAGCTTAAACTACCAGAAGAAAATGGAAAGAGCACAATTGTGCCCAATTAGGCTGAAAGAAGCAGAAATGAGCATAAAAAAGTGGAAATTATCTGAAAAAAGCTGAACTTTGTTAAAAAAAAACCAACAACAACAACAGCTGAATAGTAGCTAAAATAGCAGAAAGAAGCTTAAATTACCAGAAGGAAATGGAGAGAGCACATTTTTTGCTGAATGAGGCTGAAAGCACTTTAAATAAGTGCAAAAAGCATGGAATTAGCTGGCAAAAAAATAAAATTAGTATAAAACCGCTAAATAACAGTTGAAATAGCTGAAACTTGCTTAAGTAAGCTGAACGGTGCATAACAAGCTGAAATTAGCAGAAATAAGTTAGAAGAAGCACAAAAATGTAGCTAGAATACCATACCATTTTATTTATAAAGCACTTTAAACAGCGCCAGGGCCAACCAAAGTGCTGTACAAACAGAAACAAACAGGCAAAGCACACAACAACACATAACATAAAGTAAAATCAAAATAGAGAAACAAAATAGTAGCAGATAACATAATGGCTAACACAGTGTGATGCATCCAGGATCAACACAAACCATAAATTGAATAAATCTGAAAGGAGCACAAAGCAGCTAAAAAACAGCTGAAAGTAGCTGAATTTTTAAAAACTGCACAAGCTGAATGAAGCTTAACCGTAACAAAATGTGAAAGGAGCAGTAAAAGGTTGTAAACAGATCTAAAGATATGAAGGATGTAAAACGACCTCAATTCATTTTCTATGAGAAACAAATGGCAGAAAAGGCTAAATATTTCAAAAGGCTAAAGTTGCACCAATACCAAAAGTCATGGACTGGCCTGAATGAGCTGACTCTTTAGATAAAGTGGCAATAATAAATATTAAAAAACAGGATCACAATGGTGTGAATGCTTA